CTATCCCGCGCAGGTGCTGCCTGCCCGCCTGGATGCCACGCTTACCCACCCCACTCGGCATCCAGCCACTTGCCACCCCCTGTCCCTCATCCAGCCATCAAGGGTACACTGCTAAGCATCCAGCCACCGGGGGTACACTGACCCAAAAAGGTTGAAAACGCCTGCTGTAGGGGCTTCAGGAGGCCTTTGAGGATTCTTCACACTAAGCCGACAGCAGCAATCTGAATTGGTTTGTTTGCAGATCAGTTCTTGTTTTGCATAATTCTCACCCCCGGGTTGAAGTTCCTGTCACAAGGGAGTCACCTCCCCTCCTGGGCACCACATACAGATCGCATGGGCTGGACAACCCAGGCATTTAAGGCCAGCTGTGACGTTAGGTGAATTACAGGAAGCTGTGACCTTAGGTGAATTCAGCCTGAAATGCAAATAAGTTTAAGAAGTTAGAATACTGGTATTGAACCCCAGAGCAGAGCTGATGCTAAGAGCAGACACAGCCCCCAGGGAGCATACCCCTGGCCCAGGCCCTGAGCCAGCCTGCTGTGAAAGCACCCCAGCAACCACCATGACACTGTGACACCGATGGGTCTGCTCACCTGTTTAAAGTATTAGGCTCCCACTGAAGCATTGTGCTAAAGAGGCACCACTTGCCAGCTGCAGGTGCCATCATATTGGCAATCATAGCAGGAGAAAGGCCCAGCCCCTGACACTGGCCTGTGATACTCATCCTGTCTCACCTGGGATCTCTGAGCACTCCCGGGTACCACTGTTATGGCTGTCATTATTTATTACAGGCATGACCAGAGTGCCCAGAGTTCAATTCCAAGGATCCCCCTGTACAGGACTGTATAGACGCAAAGTAGAGGCAGTCCTTGGGGAGGCATCACATATGCCATTCCCATCAGGGTCAACTGCATTGAGTGGGTATGTGCATGCAGCCCTGGACATACAGCCACCAAGCAAGGTTTGGCCCTGTGACTTGCAAATCTGGTCTCACTACAATCCTTCCAGAGCCTGCACAGAGAGATCAGCCTCCCCATTTGCTGCAATCGACCCGGTGTCCATCTGAGCGTTTCTCGGCAGTCACAGTACTGCGGTCGCCCATGCGTGCTGTAACATGTTGTTGTGTGATGCAGAGTCTGTCACACAGACCATGTCCCCAGGCACTGAATGGAGGGACAGCAAATCCCAGGAAGAGGGGATGCATGTCCAGATGAAATTCAAATGGAGATGGCAAGCCCATGTGGGCTGGGAGGAGAGCTGCAGTGGAAAACACTCTGTCATCTGGCACAGTGAGGGGGGACAGAGAGAAGGCTGGCACTAGACAGGACGCAGTGATGGAGGAGCTGGGCAGAAGGGCTGTAGGATCCATAGGAAGTTGGCAGCTGAGGAGAGTGGGTTTGAACTGGCCCCAAGATCACTCACCTAGCTCGGCAGAGTGTTTACAGTGCCATTCAGACAGGGAGAGCCTTGCATGAGGGCTCTTCAGAGCCGCTACTGCTTTGAACCTCAGCACAGGGCCTGACCTCAATTTCCTGTAATATGACTAAACTGCTGGGGTCAGCGATATGGATTCAGGGTGGCTTTTTAATGGAAATTGAATTCTTGAAGCTGTTTCATCTGCCTTTCCACTCTGGTATATGAAAGAGATTCCTCCAGGCCACCAGGGCTTAGACAGGGACATGCTTGGTGCAGCTGCATTTCATCCTTTCCCGTCAGCTGGAAGGGGCCACTGGGGCAGAGGGAATCTCCTTGAGACGTGGCTCAAATAGGGGGGCAGCAGGGGTTTGAACCAACACACCAAGCAGGGAGAGCACAAGCAGGAAACCAGGGAAATGGCCATTGTGTAGCAAGGTGTTGGCCCCCGGCCTGAGGTGTTGTTTCCCCAACTCATAGGGTGCTACCAAGAGAGTAGCGGGGAGGGGGCCAGAGCATTAAGATGGAGCACCAGCCCAGGTGTCCCCATGCACCATGAAGATCGATGTCAAGGCTGGGTTTTCTTCAGAGCCCTCTCCAGGTTGAGGGCCTGCTGCTAAGTGAGGGTTGGGATCTTAACTCCTCAGTGCTTTTCTTTTGTTGGGGGTCAGAGCAAGGACCTATTAGTCACCCCTCTCAGAGAAGCATCCTCACTTCCAGGCCTCCACAGTGACCATTTTTGTCACATCAGAGCAGCTCCAGCCAGAGAGACAGTAGGGGACCCAACTGACAATGGCCTACTGCCTGGCTTAAAGGACACTGAGATGCTGGAGCCTGAATTAGGCAATATATGGACGTTCAGGAGAGCACTGCTCTGGAGAGCACTGTGGGAGTGGAGCAGACACCCTCAGCCCCCAGGGTCTCTGCCAGGCTGGCAGCATGGACATCCCTCTTGGGATGCCTCTTGGGATACCCCTGCCTGGAGGGACAGTGACTGGGTCTCCCAAGTCTCCCCAGGGAGTGTGCTGCCCATGTCCCTCATCTGCTGCCATCTGTACCACCCCTATGGCTCCTCTGCTGTCATGGCTCTACAGGCATCTCTCTTAGCTCCTGGCTGAAAGCAGAGCAGGAAAAATACAGCCATGGCAGGAGGGACTGAATGAGGACACAACCCCTCCAGAGGAGCACTAGCCTCTTACACAAGCCACAAGAGCTCCTAAGAACAAGGAGCCCCCTGGCAGCAAGGGAAGGCTCATGGACTCTTCATCCATGGGCGTAATCCAAAGCATTTCCTCTGGTACCATGGTCTGGGGGACCTGCTGTCAGGAGAGCCCTGCTAGCCCCTGACATCCACCATGAGCAGCCCAGGGCTAGTCATAGAAACCATAGAGAAGCAGGGCTAGAAGGGACCACCCCCATAGATCATCCTGTTCAACCCCCTGCCTGAGGCAGGATCATCCCCATCCAAACCATCCCATACAATTTCATAATCTAATAGCTTAGTAAAACTACCATGAACCCTAACATAACACAGACCAAACATCCAACCTGCCACAAGTGAAGCAGGGGAACCGTGGCAGCCATCGCCTGCTTCTGGAGGAGGTTATTATACACTCAAGTGGTCCTGGGTAGCGGGTCATGCCCCCCCAGTACAGAGGAAGGCAAAAACCCCCACAGTCCGTACCGATCTGATCATGGGGGAAACTCCCTTCCTGACCCCCGGGTGAGTGGAGGCGAGTGGAAATATGCCGAGTGGAGGGGCAGGACCCTCCAGCCCGAAACCTCTGAACAGGGACTGCCCCTGCTGAGCCCAGACTTAACTTGCTCTGCTCTGCTCTCCTCTCTCCAGGTCGCTAGCCCTTGAACCCGCCTCGCCGATGATGAATGGGACGGCCAACGTGAACCCGCCTGGCCGAAGCCACTATGCCTCCGCCATTCCAGTGCCTCGCACCATGTCCCAGAGCAAGCTGCATGCCATGGCAGCATCACCCAGGCTACCCTTACAGCAGAGCAGCCTGGGCACTGCCCCCTCCCCACGGGCTTCGCCACCATGGCCAGGAAAGGCACCAACCAACATTACCACCCCAGCCTCCAAAGGCCCTAAGCAGAAGAGTGCTGCCAAAGCCCCCATGAGCACTGGGGCTGGCCCTGACAAGGCAGAGCCACCCGAGTCCAAAGGGCCAGATGCTGAGTCTGGCCTCAGCCAGGTCACGTCACCCTCAAGCAGCAGCTCCCCAGGGGTGCAGAAGGTGACACTGAGAGCCTCTGGGGTGCCTAGGAAGTTGCAAGTGCAAGGAACAGAGAGAGACAAGGACAGCTCAAAGGCTGGGGAGGTGCCTAGCAGCCACAGCACCAAGAAGGGCTTGGGGAGACCCAGTGGCCCTGCTGAACTGCCCAAGACACCTCAGCTGCAAGGGAAGAGCCCCTCCCGCTTCAGCCTGCACAGTGAGAGTGGGCTGCCTGGGCCCCAGGACACACTCAGTGCTAAGAGGCCGCAGAGCTGCCCCCTGAAGGGCCAGTGGGCATCAGAAGTGACCTGGAAAGGCAGTGGGGTGCCCAAGCCCTGTGCAAGGGAGGACAGGCCCCCGGTGAGCTCCTTGGACACCAGCAGCTTGGCACCGAATAAAGGGCCAGCATTACACTCTGGGGCCATCAGCTTCTCCACAGCCCCACAGCAGAGTCACCCTGTCACCGCCACTGTGGCGCCCTTCCACTACCGGTGAGTCCCCTGCGCTCACTCAGCACGTGCTGGGCATGGGGCAGGGCCTTCCCCTGCTGTTTTCTGTTTTTCCTTGCCCAAGCCCTAGGGTTTCAGCAGGCCACAGACTCTTGCAGGCAATGGTTCACTGCCATCAGCTCCCTGAGCCACTGCCCGGCTCTGTGCTATGCTGGTGGCTTTTGCCCCAAGCAGAGCCTCCGCCATGGACCACACAGGAGCCAGGAGGGAAGCCACCAACCCCACTGAGGCCTATGCCCTTCCATTGGTGTGGGTGACATCAGCAGACCCCAAAGTGTCAGCACATCCCAGCCATAGGGTTTTCAAAAAAGACGGGTCTGGAGTAGCCTTCAGAGCCTAAGGCACTATTGGCTTGGCCCTCCCTGCCAGCCAGGAGAAACGTGCTAGAAAGGAGAACATGGCTGTCCTGGACCTTCTCCCCTGACAGCAGTGAGGCTGCCAGCCCAGCTCTCTGGAGCCGTGCACTGACCTTCGTCCCACAGGAGCTCCCAGAGAGGTGGGTCCCATGGGGCCCCAGGGGCAGCTGGCAGCAGTGCCCAGAACAGGCAGCTGGAATAACCCTCAGGGGACTTTGTATTAAAGCTCGTTCCATGGGATTGAGCAACACTGAGTAGTTAACAGCTGGGTCCCTTGCAGACTTGGCAGCTCAGTGCTCTGTTATACGCTGCCCCTCTCTCTCAGACCAGGGAACCAAGAACTCAAGGGCCCAGCTACAGGCTCTGTCCAGCCGAGGAGAGGGGAATGCATATGCCACTCTGCTGTCATATTTAGAGTTTCTAGCCTTCATGGATGCAAGAAACAAGCTTAACAATGTGGCCCCAGGGCCAGAGCCATGGAGCCTGTGTCCATGGTGCACTGAGGACCCCACTCATCTTCATCCACCTGGGCTAAGGGACATGATGTTCCCAAAGCATAATGGGATCCCCTGAACAAGACATTAGGATGAAGAGTTTTGGCAGCTTGGTGATGCTCCGTGATGGTGATGCCAGCAGCCATCCACCACCCCTGACAGGAGGTAGCGATGGGCCAGAAGGGCAAGGACCTGCAGGGACAGAGACACGGTGTAACCAAAGGGGTGCAGTGTTCCCCAGTTCCACCACAAGTCCTTGCCTGGAGGGTTTCAGGTGGAGACTGACTCTAGGGGATGCTTCCCAAAGGAGGGGATTGAGCAGCGGGAGGTCAGAGCCACCAAAACATCCTCCTGCCAGAGGTAGCTGCTTCCTCCCAGCATGGCACCTCCTCCCACTGTACAGCAGGGGTGTGCCTGGAGAGAGCCTCCATGCCTGTGAGGGCTTGACGCTACTCTGAGAAGGGCCAGGTGGGCACGTTGCTAGAACAGAATGGGCCAAAGATCTCATTTCTGCTTCCCCAGCCGTGTCCTGCCTCCCAGGCAGAATGAGCAGCCTCGCCACCAGCAACCAGGATCTGCTGGTTCCAGCAAGGTCCCCTCCACCTGTGCGGCCCCCTTGTTTCTCCAGTCACTGTTACTGCCATGGAGCTTGGGACCCCGTGTCTGCTGCCTATGACAGCTTCCTGCAGAGTTGGCCCTGAGCCCCACAGACCTTAACACCTTGCTCTGCCTTCCAGGCTGCAGGGGGACAGGGAAAGAAGTGAGCCCTCCCCAGAGGAGCACCCACAGACCAGCCCTGCAGAGGGGCCTGAACCCCACTTCCGAGGCTTGAGTAAGTCAATCCAGGATTTACACCTCTGTGGGTTGGGAGTGGAGGGGGCACTGCCTTGAGCAAGCAGCCTTGTCACAGGCTGGGATGGGAGTGGTGCTCCGGAATGGGCCTGAAGTGTCTATTTGTAGGCTGCGTTTTATGGTAACTAACCAGTAGCTGATGGGGCCAAATCCTGCCCTCAGTGATGCCTGGTGCAAATTTGGAATCACTCCAGTGGTGGTGAAGTGTTTGCACTGGCAGAGATGTGGGCAGGACAGAGCGAGGAAGAAGGACCGAGATGCTGTGTAATTGCTGACTAGGAAGCCATTGCCTGCCTGCCCCTACTGACTCAGTCTGCGAGGTACAGGAGGCCGGTAGTGAGCCCGTGGTGAATGAGATGCCCATGGGCCACACTTGGTGCCCAGCTGGGTTCAGCTGGACATTTGTTCTGAACTGAGTCAGGCATCAGTGTGGTTTTTATAGAGCCCTGAGCTTTAGGGGCAGGGAGGCTGGTGGGGAGGGTGAAGTGAGCCCAACTGTACCATTGGGACCTGCATAGGTTGTAGACATGCCCCCTTTTGCCTTGCGGCAGTGCAGAATGGGCTTAAAAGGTGGCTCTGCACTGGAGTGAAGGAAGTGCAAGGTGCTGGGCTATAGAGAGTCAAGCTCCTAATAGAAGAAGCAGGGGAGCTCTAGCATCAAGGAGGAGGCACCCCAAAGTGGATTGTTTCTGGGGGCCTGGGCACTACTGTTGTACTGAGATTCATGGAAGAAGGGATTAGGTGCAAGCTGTTTGACCTCCTCTGCTCCAGAACTGATATTCATGTGCGAATAAAGCCAGTTACATGTCAAATATACCCAGATTTCCTTGTCAGTGGGAATCTGTCCTGTAAAGCCCTGGAACTGTGCTGCCACTGAGCAAAGGGCACCACTGGTATCAGACTGGGACAATGGCGCCACATGATTATTGTGAGCTATCTCTAATGCAACACACTTCAGGACCCTAGTCAGGGCTCATTGTACTGAGCATTGTATAGACATGTGCATAGGCACTGCCTTCCCAAAAGAGCCTGCAGCCTTGGACTTTGGCCATGGCTAGAGAAGGAGCAACCAATGTGACCAGCCTCTCACTGGGTACAAGGCATTAGCCTGAAACCCTCAATGGACTGAGACTTTGTTGCTGGGAGGCCTCTTTTCCTCCCTGGCAAAGTGGTATCATAATACTCAGCAGAGGCTCTGAACTGGAGTTCCCTTGGTTTAGATGGAAAGAGAATATTGCATGAGTGTGTGAGACCCCTTCAACCCTGCCCCTTCATTTTCTTTTGGCCAGGCAGCCAGGCATGCTGAAGATCTTCCATTTATTTGGAGATGTGGGGGCAGGGTGGCTAGGCGCAGAGCTTGGCAGGGACAAGTGGTGGGCAAATAAAAATATCTGAGTGAAGGCAGTCAGGCTATGAGGGAACAAGTTGTCAGTAGATTGCTCCTAGTTCGGCACTGAAATAAGCCATCAGGCTTACTTGGGCTAAAGGCACAGGGTGCTGAGCTCCAGTGAAAATCTGATCATTGGTGTCGCTCTGGAAGCTGACTCAGATATGAGCTGCTAAGCAAGTCTGAAAATCTTCCCAGACTTAGTGGTGAGCATTTGGAAGCTGGCCCTGCAGGCACAGTATTGCTGAGGTGTACTGTGTCTGCTTGACCCTTGGTAAAGGAGCAGAGCAGTGGCTGAGAGCTAGAAAACCTCCCGTTGGTCAATAAGGAGCGTTCTGGCCAGAATGTGTTGAATATTTGTACTGATTCTTCTAGTAGGAGTCTACTCAGAGCTCTCTCTCTATCTGTCTGCCTGCCTGTGGTTGGCCAGACTACCCGACTGCTTCTGTATTGAGAACAAAGGGTACACGTAAGGATCTCTGACCTCAGTCGAATTCATCAGATACCGTAACTAAGTCTAGCCTATTCTGGGAGATTCCTGGTGTTTCCCTCTAATAGGTCTATACTGTTGTACTGAAGCTTCTGCAGACATCCCTGATCCGGCTCGCTCTGGAGCTGCCAGAGTAGCTGCAGTAGTCCACAGCTCAGCATGGCCTAACTGGCCCAGGTGTCCACCAGCTTTTTGGGTGGGTTTTGCAGTTTGCAACCACTGCAGCATAGACAGCCTGTGGGAGTATGGCTGTGAGCTCTCCACCAACTGGGCAGAGTAGGGGCCTAGTACAGACCCTGGCCCTGGGTTTGTGTCCTGGCTATTAACAAGGTAACACTCAGGAGCAACCGTCTCCCTCCCCAGCTGTGGCTGTTTCCCAAGAATCTTGCCCTATAAATGCAGAGATGATGGGTTTAAAGTTTCAGCAGCCACTGGGTGCCCTCCATTCCCATGGAAGTCAATGGAGAGAAAGGTGCTGTGCAATGGTTAGTATCAGCCCTTCACTCTGAACACAGTGCCTGGCTACCCACTGGCTTGGCTACACAGTGGTCACTCATTGTCCCCCACTGTGGACTGGGTGTTTACCTCTCTGCTGACTGGTCTGTCTCAGAGCCTGCTTCCTGCTCCAATACAATG